ATCACAGCTCAAATGCATTAAATTCTGCCATGCTTATTCCTTGCCTACCTCTCAGATGCATACCAAATGATTGGAAAGACTATGAACTGATGAACCCTAGTTCTCAAACTGGAATCAATACTCCTCAATAATTTGGAGAGGTACTCAACTATAGGCTTTCCCAGTGGAATACATCTCACAATTGCCTGACTGTTCAAAGCATGTCAATTGTGGATCCAAGTAAGATGAAGTTGTTGACAGTTCCAGTCTTTTCTCCATCTAATAAGATCTTTGTTTGATTGACACTGAGATGCAATCCATATTGAAGGCTGCATTCTTTGCAGTAACAAGTGTTTCAAGTCCTCCAATGTTATCCGGAGATTGCAGGTTATTTATGAATCTCTCTTCAATCCTGCTGCCACATTCCTCTCTATAGAGTCTAGCTTCCTGAATAATTTGCTAAGAATACAGATTGAATAGGCATGGAGAGAACTACAACTCTGACATACACCTTTCTTAATTTTAAACCATGTAGTGTTCCCTTGCTCTATGGGATACAAATATATTGCTTCAATTAACAATGCCTTGGATTCACTCACCAGTCTATGACAGAAAATTTGGAAGACAATTGTCTGGGCAACAGATTGGAAGAGGTCCGCATTTATTCCCATTCCCAAATATATGTGATCCAACAGAATGTGGAAACTATTGGTATCACATTGATATTACATGTGATTTGTATGGAAAACATTGGTATCACATTCAAGCACAATACTGATGAAGATCATTAAAAAACGGCTAGAGCAGTACAGGAATAAGGATTGCCAGACATTCAAGCAAGATTTAGAAGAGGCTGTGGACCAGGGATATCATTGCTCATGGCAGGTGGATCCTGGCTGAAAGTAAAGAAGAATGTCTATTTATGCTTTATTGACTATGTGAAGGTATACTGTGGGGAACATGACAAGTTATGGCCAATATTGAAAAGAATGGGAATCTCAGATCGCTTAATTGCGCTTATGTGAAACCTATAACTAGACCAGGAGGGTGTTGAGCAAACAGAGTAAAAGAAAATATTATACACAAGTTAAATTATGCTAAGATAATTATTTTTATTCTACCTTTGTATTTTTTAATATGACCTTTTCTTTTTTATTCTCCTTTACAGAGTTATCCTTAAGACAGTTCCATACTTCAGAGACCATCTATTCCCTGTTTTATACATAATTCTCCCAAGTCTATTTCTTTTAATTCAACATTTCTTCTAATTTGAAAATTAAGGGATACACAAATGACAAGGCAAATACTTTAACTGTTCTTATTATAACTTGGCTTCTAAGAATCTAGTTCTTGCTTAGGATGGAGCAAAAGCTATTTCAGTGCTAAATTTGCTGTCAAGATTATTCTAAACTCAACTCATTACTATCAAGTACGAACCCACCATGAGTTTCTGAGTCTGTAAATCACATAGGATTGGACTGACCACTTGTCTTTCAAAGAGCCTCTCCTCGATGTGAACCACCAGAAATGAATAGCCTTTGCTTTAGCACAGCCACTCCCTAGGAACTTTGTGTACTAGGTGCTGGTATCAGTGACAATTCTGCAGAGGATCTTCAATGGATGTTTTGATCTAATAACTCAGAGTCCTGGTCGCTTCAGTGACCACTATACTACTTGTCATCATGTTTGCCCAGATATGGCTATAGTTTGAGGTAATATTTATAATGAAAAAAATTTTCTCTCTTCCTCTTTTTTACCATAATATTGCATATTAAATTTTAAAGTCTATGCTAACAGGATTTAAATAAGTTTTTAAAAGATAGTTTTAACTATATTTAGGGAAATTCCACTGTTATGGTGTGCTATTATTGGAACTGATTTTCTGTTAACATGTTAGATCCTCAGAGACTGATTTTGTGGGAAGAGTTCACAAAATCCACACATGTTCTATAAACAAAAGCAAATAATATATGTATTTTTGGCACATGGAAGTTTTAGAAGTAATTTCTTTTTTATAAGGTTGGTCACCATTCATAAGTTTACTTACAACAGCTAATGAATTTTAACGTGTTATGAAAATATATATTTTGGGTTTAGGGATAACATAAGACACAAACACGTTGAATTTAAAAATAAACACAAAGTTTCTGAATCAGCAGATAGACAAAGCCATTATTTTATTGCTAACTGATGTAAAATGGCCTAATATGTTTTAATGAGTTTATGTGTAATTTTTTCATTAAAAAGAAAAATTATACTGATTTTCAACTTCTTTTCTTTTAATTGAGTGTATGTAACTACATGGCGTGTAGCAACAATGACCCTTTGAATTATGTGAAAGCTAATTTGGCCATGAAAAACTAGATGCTTTCTGATTTCTACTTTTGGAGAGTTGAAGAGAGCTAAGTAAAATCCTAACTTATGATTCAAACCTGGAAGTTAAGAAAAAAAAAAGTCACCTTTATTACCATGTGACAGAACATATATCCTAAATTAGCATATTCAAATACACATAGAGAATTCTAGGTATTTAAGTGTCTTGGCTGTCTTTTCATTGCTCTAAATAGAAATCATCCAGTTTCTTAAGAATCTCTGAGGCAGAGACAATGGTTTCTATGAAGTGGACAGAAATGGTCTGCTTATTCCTCCACATACACTCTCCACAAACCTTGTGATGTGTATGGGCCATTGTAAAGGGAAATGATTGACCTGGTCCCAAAATAGAGAAGGCTCCAGGGTAATCCAAACTACTTGTACTAGGCTACTAATGGATATGTGTGAGTTGAAATGTTGAAGAAGAGTATTGAACGTACCATGGATTGCCAAAAGAAAAAATAGGTCTGTCCTAGAGAGAGTGAAACTAGTTTGCTCCTTGGAAGCAAGGACTTTGAAGCTCTGTCTCACATACTTTGGGCATGCCACCAGTCCTTCCTTAGGAAAGGACGTCATAATTGGAAGGGTGGAGAGTCAGTGCATTAAATGGATTGACATAGTGACTGTGGCAATGGGGTCAGATATGCCAAAGACAGAAAGATTGGCTCAGGATAGGGCAAGATTCAGAGCTATTGTTTATAAGGTTACTATGTATTTTAGACTACTAAATGGCACACAACAACAACAACAATTAACTTAAAGACTAGTCGTTTGAATCTATCCAGAGACATGGTAAAAGAAGGATCTGGATATTTGTTTCCATAAAAATGACGGGCAAGAAAACTTTGTGGAGATTTCTGTGGCACACAAAATCACCATAAGTTGGAATCAACAGTAATGAAATTGGTTTGGGTTTTATGTCTCAAAAAACGTTGTATTGCACCTCGTCAATTGACAGATAGCCCTCTCTTCTTGTGCACATCAGCTGCATCTCTAAGACACGATAGTGAAGGTTGGAGTAACTGGATTTGACCACATTGGACGCCTGCTCACCAGAGCTGCTTATAACTCTAACAGAGCAGATGCTGTTTTCATCAGTGAACCATTCACTGACCTCAACTACATGGTCTATATGTTCTAGCATGATTCCACACATAGCAAGTTAGATGGCATTGTCAAGGCTAAGAATGGGAAGATTTTCATCAATTGAAAAGCCATCATTATCTTCCAGGAGCTAGATCTCACCAATATCAAGTGGGTTGATGCTGATTCTGAGTATGTTATGTAGTCCACTGACGTTTTCACAAGCTTGGAGAAAGCTAGGGTTAACTTGAAGGGTGGTGCAAAATAGATAATTATTTCTACTCCTTTTGCCAATGCCCCTATGAATCGTGAGAAGTATGATAATTCTCTCAAGATTGTCAACAATGCTTCCTTCACCACCAACTGCTTGGTCCCCCCTGGCCAACTTTGACATTATAGAGGGAATCATAGACAGTCCATGACCTCACAGCCACGCAGGAGACTGTGGATGACTTATCTGGAAAGCTGTGGTGTGGTGGCCATGGAGCTTCCCAGGACATCATCGTTGCGTCTATGGTCACTGCCCATGCTATGGGCAAAGTCATCCCTCAACTGAATGGGAAACTTACTCGAATAGCTTTACAGGTCCCCACTCCCAATGTGTCAGTCATGGATCTGACCTGCAGAGTGGAGAAAGCTGCAAAATATGATGAAATCAAGAAAGCAGTAAAGTTAATATCAGAAGGGTCTCCAACAGGCATCCTGGGGTACACAGAAGACCAAGTTATCTCTTGTGAATTTAACAGTTACATCTACTCTTCTGCCTTTGATGCCGGATCTGGCATTTCCCTAAATGATCACTTTTTCAAAATAATTTTCTATTATGACAATGAATTTGGCAACAGCGATCAGTTTGTTGATCTGATGGTTCACATGGCCTCCAAAGAATAAGATCCCCTTGAACCACCAGTCCGAGCAACAACACTAGAAGAGAGAGAGAGACCCTCACCTGCTGGGTGTATCCGCTCCCCTCACTCCCTCAGCACACTGAGAATCTTGATTCCTTAACACAATTTCCATTCTGTTCTCCTGAGAAAGGGAAGGGGCTTAGAAAGCCCATCTTATTATGTAACATCAATAAAGTATATTGTACTCAGAAAAAAAAATACATTGATTTAGGGATAATTTAAAACTAAGCTACTTCTTCCATTATAAAATGTCATTTGTATTTAGTAATATGTCCTCCAAACTAGCCCTACTTGTTTATAAACAGTCTGCCCAACACTGATGGAGGGCATTAAACATTCACTGGCTCTGTTATTCCCTCCTCTAATTGAAAGAACTGTGGTTTGAGTTTCAAAGGTGCTTGCAGCTACACGAATAAGGGCAGCAGGCACTTGCATCAGCAAAACAACAGCAGGTGAGACATGGTGAATTGTCCATATTTATAGATGACCATGCAGTTTTTATAAAGCTAGGTTGGAGTCTCTAGTTGTGTTCTGACTCGGTGTGAGTGCGCCGTTGAGGTCAGCTCAAGGCAGCTGACTGCTTTTCTATATATGGCCGTGGGAACAGCTGTTAAGTTTCTAGACGAGAGCATTTGAAACAACTCTTGGACTTTTTAAAGTCTAATAATTAAAATGAGAAATGGCAGAACTGGGAGTATAAGATGCCGTAGTTCTGACACTAGGGAAATATTTCCCAAAGAAATGATTTTGTGTCAAGTAGTACTTATTAAAATGAAAATATATAATTATTTTTGCAGTCTAAGTAACAAGAACAAAAAAAAAATCAATGCAACAAAGTTTATAACTTTGATTATGTGACTCCCTCACTAAGCAATACCTAGCAGAAAAGCAGGTGGACTCTGATTAGGCTTATAAATATAGAAATGTATTGATCAACAGAACAAAACTCCTTCAACTCTTCCCCACTGAGGTCAATGTATCTTTAAGAAGGGAAAAGAAGATATAGCCTGTCTTTTCAGGATCCAGTGAAGTTTGTGGAGCTGACATCTCAATAAATTACTATGCTGAATTGACTTCTTTATGGGTTATCTACAAACAAAACAGGATTAATATGAGTAGCATTTAGAACAATGTATGGAATCACAGTTTGATTACAACATATGAATGCAAATTTTGTTGGTCACTGAGTCTCAAGTGGCAGAAGGAACAATGGAAGAGATAAATTTGCATGAAGAAATACAGGAATTTCAGGAAAATAGTGAATATTTTTACTGCAATCAATTCCAACCCATTCACCTCAACTTTCTAGCCACTGTTTACATAAAAAAAGAAGGCATGTATTTTGCATTCTAAGAAACCTATCCTCTCCTGCCTTGGAAGTATCTTTAAATGCACACTCTAAACCAAAACACACACACACACACACACACACACACGCACACACACACAAAAAGTTCTTGTTGAAAATATTGCTTCAATTTCCTTAAGAAATTTTGGAATCTTGATGAAACTCCCTAATGCGCTTTGGAATCTTTCTTTGTGTGTTATCTGCTTTTAGCTTGATTTCCTCTTTTACCAGGGAACATAAAAAATTATCACTCCTGATAATAAAAAAAATTTTAAGTGTTTTTATAAATATAAAGCTTGTAAAAATACTATAAAG